GATATGTCCTTCCTGGCTTTGGACTTCTGTAACACTTGATAATTCATTGCCACAAGTCAGTAACTACATGGACTTCACATCCTGGGAATTAGCAGATCTCACAGGCTAATTCCAGGATGGGTATTCCAGCAGAATTCCTCCCTTCCTGCCTGCCGAGCTTTGCTTTAGTAGCTGCAGGCTGCATGACGCCCTCCGCAGGTGGGAAAAGGACAGCTATGGCCTGGCAAGTCAATGGGCCAAGTCCAGGCAGGCCATAGGTTGAGCCTACCTTGAGGTGTCTGGAATAACTGAACACCTGTGCAGGACTCTCTCAGGCCCCCAGCCCACTTGCAGGGATTTTACCTGGAGCCTGTGCATGCAGGCTGTGCAGCACCTTCACCCAAACTAAAGCCGCAGTGGAGCTGGGCTTTTGGTTCAAGTAGAGTATAAGGGTTAAAAACCTAAGCTATGGGAGTAGAACTGCTTAGTTTGACATATGAATCTGCTTCTTAATAGTTGCTCTGCCTTCAACACATTATTTAAATATTCTGTGTCTGTTTCCTCTTCTCCATAAAATGGAGACAATGAATAATAATCCACCTCCTAGAATGGTATGAGATTTAACTAATGTACATGTAAAACAGCGGGATCCTGACGCACAGTAGGCATTAGAGAGATGGCCGGTATTATTAACACTACTACTACGTATCTAAATCAAAACAATTTTTAACCATTAACTGCACTTGTTGGTTTCGCCATCCACTATGATTTGGCACTCTATGAGCAAATATTTTTTTCTTTTAATTTTTAGAACATTTGCATGATACACACATAATCTAGGGAAATGGCTTATTTATATGAATAGTCTCCCTTAATTAGCTATTAGTTGAAAAATATATCCCAAATGGCATGGTAAATTACCCTGTGTTTGAAAGCAGGTTGAGCATTTCAGCGACAACATTCCCAAATTAGGAGCAGTAAATTAATGTTGAAAGTCCCTCTGATACCTGTTGGGACCCTTGCCTTCAGTGCCATGGGCTTCATCCTCATGAAGCCCTTTTAAAGTGAACACCGAAGGAATCCCTATGGATTGGCCACAGTGCTCTTGGAAGGATTACCTCTGCCCTGAAAAAGAGAGGTCATGTCAAAGGGTCTTGAGCACAGCGCTCTCCACCTCTGAGAACCAGAGAGCACCTCTTCTTCAAAGTGGGGGACCACAGAACCAAAGCTGTTCCACCCCTTCCTGGAAGGTGCAAAGTCGCCCGGCGGGCGTTCGCCTCTTACCACGAACTCCTCCAAAGTCTGATAGGTCTTGCCCCGGAACTCGCAGTAGTTCTTCCTCTCCTTGCACTGCGGGCAGCACTGGCTCGTGTCGACGTGGATGCAGCGCGGGTGCAGCCTCGGGCACTCCGGCTGCGCGCACAGCGGACCCTCCTCGGTGCACAGGCACGGGCAGGCCGAGGGGCCCGGCGCGAACTTCTCCCCGATCGCGTACACGAAGCCGCTCTCGTCCACGCAGCCCTTGCCGCGATAGTCCGGGTACACGTACTCCTCTGGTGGCTCGGGCGTGGGTGCGAGTTCCGGGCCGATCGCGTCCTGGGCGGCTGCAGCCAGGGCTTCCCCCTGCGGGGTGTCCCCACGGGGCCGGACCTGCAGATCCCCGGCCTTGGCGCCCCCGCCCTGGGAGACCCAGGCCTGCTTCAGCTTGCTCCACGGCTCACGGCCGGCGAGCCCACGGCCGCTCTTGCTCTTCCAGTCTCGGCCGCTGCCGCCCTCTTCCCTTGCCGGGCGCCCGAGCTCGTTCACCCGCCCCGGGCCGTCCCGAGAGGCGTGCTCACGCTTCTCCTGGCCGGGCTGCTCTGGTGCCTGGGCCAGCTTCTCCAGCGGAATGCTCGGACTGCACAGAGCCACCATCAGGCAGCAGGTGACCAGGAGGGAACTGGAGAGCGCGCCAACTGCCATCGCAGTGGAGCTGGGCATCCCCTACCACGTCCCGGCGGGCGGGCGGGCGGGGAGCGCGGCCGAGGGGCGAGTCGCATTCACAGCCCGGGGGCGCGCCGCTGCCAGCCGGGAGCCGCCGTCCCTGCGGAGAGAACAGCAGCACAACTGAGCCCCGCGGCCCGCGCGCGCCCCGGCCCGCCGCGGCCCCCACCCGGGCTCCGGCATAGCTCTAGATTAACGAGCTGGGCGACGGGGGCGGGGGCAGCATGCCCAGCGTCGGTGCACTGCCGGGGTTCTTAGACATCACAAATTGTGGAGCGATATATTGGAAACGAAATCCAAGAACGACACCGGCCGGCGTGTTTCTGATGTAGTCGTGATTAGTGTTGGAGATGGCCAAGGGCGGCTTGCGGAGCCCAGGGAACGCAGTGAGCAGGGCCCCCCTGCAAAGCTCTGCTGGGAACCACGTAATTCGGGCACCCAGGGTGTCCCTCCCTAGGTCCTGGCCACGTTTCCCGAAGGTTATTAAATGGAGAATTCAGCAGTGGAGTTAGACAGACGAAAGTACAGGAAGATAAGAGGGAAACTCTTCCTCATTTGCTTTAGGGGTTTGTGCTGGGAAAATTCGGGGAGGTTAAACAAAGCTTCTCCTAGGACTCCACGATTCATTTCTAACAACTTCTTAAAAGCCTCCCGTCTCGGGAGCAGATGTCCCCTCCCTGCTCTCTAAGCCCCGCTGCATGAAAAGATGCCCTCGACCCCTTCCCAGAGGGCCAAGTCGGGGATTCCCGGGGCTTCAGTTCCTCCGCCGGCCCGCCCCTGGGAGCCTCGGGAGCCAGGTCGCCGGCCGCGGCGCTCAGTCTTGTAGGGTCCTGGCTGCGGAGCAGAAGCGCCCGGGCAGCACCAAGGAGTGCAGTGCGGAAGGCCGGGGCTCCAGGGCGCAGAGTGGGGGCGAGACCCTCCTACTCGCCGGACCCTCGCCAGCCTTTCTGGATTCCAAAGTTTCTGCCGCCCAAAGGGGCTGGGAGAGCCCGATACGCCGCAGGACACCGGCAATCCAGCCTCTCTCTGCCTCACTTCCCGAACGCCCCCACTCTGCGCACTCCAGTGCGTCTGTCCCCTCCCCCTCAGCCCTCCTCCCTGAGGGCTCTGAACGTGCCCGGCCTTGCTCACCCCCTGCCCGGTCCCTTCCGACCTCAACACTGGGCGAAGCGCCCATATTCACAAACTTGGGCGGGGGAGGGGGGGTCCTCCGGAGCAGCTGAGCGGCGGAACACAGCGGGAGCGCGTCCGGCAGCGCGGGGACACCCAGCATGCACCCTCAGCCCTGAAGACCGGCGCCCAACCTACATACATGAGCGCAAGGCGTGGGCCGGACGCCGGGCTCGTGGCGGGCGCAGGGGTAGCAGCGGCGGGCGCGGACCCGGGTTGCCAGCGCCCATCCTGGGCCAGTCGGGGACCCGCGCGGGGCGGACCGCGGAGAGCCCAGCCCCACCTGCGCGCTCCGCCCGGCGCGCGCACCGGGCTAGGGCGTCTCCGGGGACTCGCTCATCGTGCTGCCAGCTGCCGGTGGTCGCGGCCCCAACTCGCGTCAGTGCCCGCGTCGCCCTCAGCCGCTCATCCTCCAGCCTCGTCCCCACTTCTCCGAGACCAAGCGCGCCCCGGAGGCCACCCGGGCGCCGCCTCACTCCTCTCCGCGGAGGGGTTCGGGGAGCTGTCCAGACCCGGCAGCCGGAATGTCTGGGCAGCCGCTGCGCGTCGGAGGGGAAAGAGAAGCCCGGAGCGCGGCAGGCGCGGTAGTGGCACCGAGGCCAGCATGGGAGCCAGCGCGCCTGTCACCCGCCTCCCCCTGCCGCAGCCGCCTCCGCCCGGCTCCCGCTCCGCTCCCTCCTCTGCTGCCCCCGCTCGGGAGGCGCCGCCTCGGCCCCCGCTGCCCCAGGGGAGGCCCTCGCGTTGCCCCCGGGGAGACCCTGCCGCGGCACCCGCTCCCTTTGCTGCGCCAGACCCACCTGTCAGTCGTCCGCGCGGCGGCGTCCCCACCTCCGCCGCCGGCCGCAGACCCTGCTAGGGTTGCCATTCTCCAGGCGTGTCACTCACTTTGCGCTGGACCTTTCATCTTGGCTTTTCTCTTTTCTTTAATTTCTTCCTTCCTAATTGGCCCCCTCTGGCTTTCCTCTTTGTGGACGGCTTGGTTCAGCTACCGTGTTCAGTTTGGGATTCGAAGGCCGTGTTAATTTAGCAGACTCTTGAGACTTTTTCGTCTTTGCATTCAGAAACCCAGAGAGATAGACGTGTATGAGTAAGAAACGTAAAAATCTCAAGCGCGAACTTTCTGAATCTCTGCCAGTCTCTCCCCGCTCCCATCTTCCTCTTCCTGCCTGCTCACTCTTCTGCTGCAAATAGAAACCTGTTTCCTAACTTTGCTGGAATCCTCAACTGTTAAGCAGAGGCCTGGTTGGTTTTACTCTTTGATGTTGTGTACAGGAGAAAAAGTCAGTAGCACCTGTTCGGATTAATCCCCGAAATGGAATTTTCATGGAAATGGCCATTCCCAGGGCACTGGTTCCCACTCATGGCATTTTAAAATCCCTGAAAGTGCTCGGACGGTAAACAGATAACCTTCCCTGCAAAGTCAGGCGCTCTGGTGGTGGAAACTGGGGAGGCTGGTTTAGGACAAAGTATTTCTCTCTACCTTTTAATTGTATAGACAAACAAGTCTTAGCTGAGGTGGTAGGAAGCCCTCCTTGAAAGTCTTCTTAGAAGGCTGCCCCTCCACCCCCTCCAACACACACAGAACCAACAGGGCAACAGGGCTGGATGGAGGATTTCTTTCTGTTTTCTGTTTGTTTGTTTGTTTGTTTTTGAGACGGAGTCTTGCTCTGTGGCCCAGGCAGGAGTGCAGTGGCTGATCTCCACTCACTGCAAGCTCCGCCTCCCGGATTTATGCCAGCCTCAGCCTCCTGAGTAGCTGGGACTATAGGCGTCCGCCACCACCAGCGGCTAATTTTGTTTTTGTATTTTTAGTGAGACGGGGCTTCACCGTGTTATCCAGAATGGTGTGGATCTCCTGATCTCGTGATCCGCCTGCCTCGGCCTCCCCAAATGCGGAGATTACAGGCATGAGTCACCGCGCCCGGCCTGGATGGAGGATTTCTATGTCCAGGATGATTTGAGCCTTTCTGCTGTTTCAGTTCTACTCTCATTTTTCCTTTTTTCTTTTTTTTTAAAATGTTTTAGAGACACGATCTCACTTTGTCACCCAGGCTTCAGTGCAGTAACATGATCACGGCTCACTGCAGCCTCAAACTCTTGCCTCAGCCTCCGAAGGAGCTGGGTGTACAGGTCACCACACAGGGCTAATGGTTTTTTTATTATTTTTTTTTGGTAGAGATGGAGTCTTGCTTTGTTGCCCAGGCTGGTCTTGAACTCCTGACCTCAAATGATCCACCCGGCCTCTCAAAGTGCTGGAATTACAGGTGTGAGCCACCACACTCGGCCCTTTCATTTCTTGTTACCGTCAGAAAAGAGATAGGCCACATTTGCCTGTGGCTGCAGCAGCCTACCCACCCACCTGCCTCTCATCACTGCTCTAATCAATTATGGCTTCCGTGTCTTTATGATGCCTCTATTCCAAATATCACACCTTTCACAATACCGCCGAAATAAAAACACTCCTCAAGGTGTGATCATATGTAATGTGCAAAATGGGTCCTCAGTTCTATAAAATCAAGTTTTTATAGCATGGGTTAGGTTACAAATTTTGTTATTTGACTTACTTTATTAGCTAATTCTGTTCTTGTCATTAAACGCCCTGTTTTGTTTTGCCAACAGTACTCTCATGTGGTTACAATGGGGTAGCCCCAAACACGTGACTAATAAGAAGAAACAGTAACGGTGTATGTGTCCAGGATTCTAACTGAAAAATTGATTGGGGGCTCAGGTGAGGAAATAATGATGTCTTTTTATTGATCCCACCTCAATCACTGGTCTCTCTGAATCGGAAACTCCTTGTCCCAGCCAGCTGGTTCCAGTAGAGAGCCATGAATATGAGATAGCCAAGTTTTCAAGAAGAGGCCTGACAAAACTGAGGATGAATTAAGTGACCAAGTGTCCAAATGGCTTTGTTCTGTTAGATGTTCTCAGAGATAGTGTTATAGGGCTGATAGAAAGAGGGAGGAAAGCAGTTTCCAAGGGATTGCTGTTCTTTGTGAAGAACAATACCCATGCAGCTCGATGAGCTGAGTAATTTGAGAAAATATAGGGGATTTTGCAGGCACTGAAGGAATATATAATTTATTTATTGCCAGTGCAATGAATTGTAATTCACTTTTCTTCTTTCCTTGCTTCTTTGTTCCTTTCTTTCCTTCCTTCCCTTCGCCCTCCTTCTCCCCTTTCTGCCTCCCTCCTCCATCTCTCTCCTTTCCTTTTCCTCTTTCTCTCCCTCATTTCTTTTCTTCTTTCCTTTATTCCCTCCCTCCCTCTTTCCTTTCTTCCTTTCCACTTATTTTACTTTCCCTTGCTTTCCTTTCCCTTCTTTTCCTTTCCCTTCTCTTCCCTTTCCCCCATTTTCCCTTCCCTTCCCTTCCCTCCCCTCCCCCTCCCCTCCCCATCCTCTCCCCCTCCTCTCCCCTCCTCTCCTCTTCCCTTCCCTTTCCCTTCTCTTTCTCTCCCCTTCCCCTTCTTTTTCCCCCTTCCCTTTTGCCTTTCCCTTCGTCTTTCCTTCTCTCTCCTTTCCTTTTTTCCGGGCTACAGTTTGCAAGGAAGCAGCAGAAAGATCTCTGGTCAGGGAGTGAGGTGACATGGGTGTAATCCAAGTTCCACCAGAGGCCAGTTTTGCAACTTTGAACAAGTCACTCAGTGTTACAGGTTCTTTGTTTTCTCACCTTTAAAAGGAAAAAGAGAGGATCTCTGAATGAATAGGAAGTCCAAAGCACTCTAGAAATATAGCACATTTCTGCTTTCATGTCCTGTTTTAACTGAGTTCATTGGTCCATTTTCTTCCTGTGCGCAAGAGTTAAATCCATCTGCTGAGATACAGTCGTATTTAGTAGCCGGTGTGACAGTCTGAGCTTGGCCGCAGGACCAACCCTGAGCAATGCAAAGCAAGTGAGTTCCAGGCAGGATTCTAGGCCAGTCACCTTTCCTGTCCCTTTTGGCAGAATTAATCTTACCTTTATTTTCTCCCCAGAGAGTGGTTCATGTCTCTTGTAACAGTCAACTTTTTATGTCAACTTTTTTTTTTATGTCCCTTAAACTTTTTTTAATGCCAACTTTTGTTTTTTTAATGTCCCTTATAACAGTCAACTTTTTCATAGCTCCGGATTGTCTGTACTCACCTCTGAAATGGTTGCTTATTTAAGGGCAGTGGCTATGCTTTATTCATCCTTCTATTCTTAGAGCCAATAGGACCAATTGAGGAGGGAAGGGGAAAAGGAGGGAAGAACGCAGCAATAGAAGGAGGGAAGGAAAGAAGGAGGGAGCGAGGGAGGGGAGAAAGGAAGGGAAGGCGATTCAGAGGGAGGGAGAAAAGAAAAGCGAGGGAGGGAGAGAAGAAGAGCACCGGAGGGAAGAAGGGAGAGAGGAAGGAAGGAAAGAGGGAAGGGAGGAATGAAGAAAGGAAGTAAAGAAAGAGAAGAAGGTAGTGAGGGATGGAAAGAGGTAGAGAGGGAATGGAGGTGGGAGAGGGAAAGAAGAAGGATGAAGGAAAGGGAAAAACATAGGAAGGAAGGAAAGAAAGAACGAGGGAAGAGAAGAAGAAAGGAAAGAGGGAAAGAAGGAAGGAATGAAGAGAAGGTAGGAGGAAGAGAATAATTGAGGAAGAGAGGAAGGAAGGGAGAAAGTAAGAAGAGGGAGGAAGGGAAGAAGGGAGAGAGGGAAGGAATGAAGAAGAAAGGGAAAAAGAAGGAAGAAAAGAACAATGGAAAGAAGAAGGATTGAAGAAAGGGAAGAAGGAAGGAAGGAAGGAGGGAAAGAAGGAGGATGGAAGAGGGAAAGCAGGAAGGAAGGAAAGCCAAAACTAGGAGAAATTCACTTATTTATACAATATTGGGCGAGGTCACAACCATCTCATTTAATTTCTTACAGTACTACTGGTCTTAGCAACCATTATTGTTTTCCATTTTGCCCGTGGGAAACCATGACTGAAAGAGGTTGAGACTTGACTAAGGTTACCCAGCTAATAAGGGCAAGTGCCTGGTTGACAGTGACACCTGTGACGGCACCCCCAGTGTCCTGTCCCACACCCCCACTGCTGTCTCCTCCAAGTGGGCTGTTTTGGGTCAATGATTTACTATTCTGGATTAACTGGCTCTCCCGAGCTTCTCTATCCAGCCAGAACTGCACGACCTCACGCACTGGGACTTACATTCATCACAGCAGAGAAGCAACAGGTCATACAAGGACCAGAGTGGGTTGGTTGTAGGGGGCCTCGGGAGCAGTCCTGAGATGCTGGCTCCATCTTCATGTCCTCAGGCCAGGACCCCCTCTAACAGGGACTCATGTTTGCCAACAAATGAGAGAACACATTAACACATGCATGGCTGAGAAAGGATCCCTTGATGCATATTATCCCATACCCTGAGGAAGAAGAGTCAAGGAGCAGATTTGCCTGGGAGGAAAATATAAGAGATCATGCCCTGGGAGGAGAGGCACCTCAGGGCAACCATTCGCAAGTGAAATAGAAGAGAGGTAAGGAGCTTAGGTGTGCTCAAAGAGGGATGAGACAAGGTCATCTGCTGCAACTGAGGGTGCCAGCTGTTTGTGATTTGAAAGTGGAAAAGAGAATAAAACATAAACGAAGTTAGGATGACTGCAGACCTGACCAGGAAACCAAGAAGGCCTTAATGGGACGCAGAGCCAGCCAGGGAACCTTGCATATTTGTTCTATGGGGAGAGCTGCTTGTGATGCACAGGCGAGCCAGCTTTACAGGTGGCAGTGGAGAGAACTGGCAGAATGCTGCCACGCCTCCCTTTATGGGTGAGGAGACAGTGTGGCTGCCCTGGGGAAGGAGGGTGTCCCGGGAACTGTGTGTTCCAGGCACAGCAGCTGCAGCAGTGTCTGCAGAAAACACAAAGGGCTCCCCACTCCTGCTCATGCACTCACTCCTCCCGCTGACTGCAGATCTCCTGAGCCCAAGGAGAAGAGCTTTCCTTCACTTAGTTCACACCTTTGGCAAAGCCATTTAACTTGAATTCTGGGTTTGGGCCAGTGAAGGAAATGCTTTGAAACCTTCATCTTTGAGGGTTAGAGGGAATAAAAGCCTCTTTCACCTGAAATCAAGGGTCAGCAGGATTGTTGTGGTTCAAGCAGAAAGGTGACCATTAATGAGTGGGAGAGGCCACTTTGGTGTTCAGATGGCTTTTTATGGATGTACACTGAGCAGGCCTGGCTGTTAAGGGAGCCACTAATTAAAGTTCTGCCCTGGAACAAGCTACCAGTCGGCAGGGCAACAGCTCCATTACTGCTTCCCCTTTTGATACATGTCTGCGGTTGAGAGTTACTGTTCCCTGGGCTGACCCGCCGCACATGATGCCTGATTACAACACACCTTGGGGACTCATCCCTTCTGCTATGATGCCAGAAGTCAGCAGCATCTGTTCAGATAATCAAATGGATGACTCACAGATATTCTTCTGAAATCAGTGGCAACATCTTACTCCTTGAAAAGAGGTTTCCAGGGATCCATTTTTTGTAGACTATTAAGTCATCCACTGTACTGGTATCACAGGCCCCATAGATACGGACCAAAGAAGTTTCAGAAACAATTATTGTGAAACAAAGGCCTATCAAAGTTTACTACTCTAAGAAGTACAATAAGCAGTTGGTTTAGAATGGTTGGAATTGCAGATGGCATAGCACTGTGCAATAGTGGGAAAGGATCTAGGTCCGTAAAGCAGAGGTAAGAAGCTTCAGGTTGCATTTGTAAAGGTGTTTCCTCTTACCTTTGGAGAGTTCCAAAGGAGGAAATCTCTGGCTAGTGCTGCATGCCATGTGGCCATCTTTGGGCAGGATTTTTCCCTGGAGTCAATAAAGGGAACCTGAAATCCACTCTGGAGCTCTTCTGACTTGGGATGTGTTTTCTCCTGACTTCTCTGGCCCATGATTTTCCCAGGAGCCAGACACTGGATCTGGTGTGATACCACAAGAGATGGAGTGTTATTTATACCCTGTAGTCTATGTAGGGGATGCTTTGCTTGGCTGAGCATAGCAGAAAGCAGTGCAGGAAGGGGAGGGTGTTTCCAGGTGGGCTCATAATGAGTGAGTGGCTAAGAGAAAAAAACAAACTCTATTTTTAATTTGCTTTCACACCATGACGATCAACACAGAAAACTTCTGTGGCCAAATGTTTGGGGATTACCCCTAACCATAAACCAAGCAGTCAATTCTGCAGTAGACACCAACTGGGTGTCTTTCAGTTCAATTCCAACTCCATCTATTTGGAGATAGCCTCAGATCCCACACATTGGGAGCTCAGTCCCCAAGACTGCCTCCACTTCTGATGCCAATCTCAAGGCCCAGGTTCTTTTACCTGGGCTTCTGAATGACTGGCTATACATTGGGGATCCCATAAGCCCCTTCCTTGGGTTTGATTAATTTACTAGAGTGGCTCACAGAACTCAGGGAAACACTTTGTTTACCAGTTTATTATAAAGGATATTACAAAGGATACAGATGAAGAGATCCTTAAGGCAAGGTGTGGGGGAAAAGGCATGGAACTTCCATGTCCTCTCCAGGTGCCCCACCCTCATAGGAACCACTGCACATTCAGCTATCCTGAAGCTCTTCAAATGCTATCCTTTTGGGTTTTTATGGAGGCTTCGTTAGGCAGGCATGTAGGTTAAATCATGATGGACTTATTAAAATACAAAAGGACATTACTTTGGAGACTCTAAAGATTTTAGCAGATATATGCCAGGAAGCAGAGTTGAAGACCAAATATTTATTTCATAATATCACAGGGGCACATGCATCTTTGGTGGAGAGTCAGGAAAATGGGTCTGCCTGGATGACTTATCTCCTTGGTCCCAAGCTGGTTGAACTCTAGAACATTCATTCCCTGATGTGCCAAGGGGACTTCGAAATTCTCTGGGGTTCCTCAATTCTTTCCCAAGTATCACTAGCTATACAGGACAATGGCAGAACCTGAGGATGGGTGGTACAAGGGATTCCCTCTGTAAACAGATGGTCAAGAACCTGACTTCTCCCTGACAATACTTAAAACCCTGACAGTGGGCCTCATACTTGGGCTGGGACAGTGGGTGTGTGCTTCAGAAATACTTGGGCTGGGACAGTGGGTGTGTGCTTCAGAAGAATCCTGGGCTCATTATCACAAGGCGGTAAGTCCTTATTCCAAACAACTTCTTCATGGGATCTAAACATGAGAACATATAGATATCTAGGACTTACAGGACAAGGACAATGACAGTGACCACCCCTACTCTATCTCACTTCTTTATTTCTAGCATCTAGAGCATGTAGCATCTATAGCAGGCAGCTGGGGCACAATGAATGTTTACCAGATGAAATAACAAAGAATCACAAAACGACATGACACAAAGTTCTTTTTCCTACATCTCCCATTACCGACCCCCTCCACTCCCTCACCCCTCCCCCTAAGCTCCCCACCTCCTCACCACCAACCCACTAGGACTGTACTTAATCATGTAAAACAGTTCTGCAAATACACTGAGCCCTAGGGCACTGAGTGAGCACAGGCCTCCTGACTTCTCTTCATTTGCTGGGCTTTCCCAGGTACCACTTCACCCCCTCACTCAGGAACATGCTAGCTAGGTTTTATCTCCAGCTGTTGAAAGAAACTCCTTCCTTTCAGCACCAAGCATAAATAAACCTGAAATTTTTCTGTGGTTCTGGGCCAATAATTCTTATTATATTGCTTTTCTCATACCTTATGCATCCTAATTATTCCCTACTCCCTTGCAACATTCAAGAAAGCAATTCTTTGAGGGGCTATTGAGGAATTCATCACCTGGTTTCCACCACTGGCCAGTGAAGAGATGCTCAGGAATGCATAGAATTTGAGAATGGAGAGGTCTTCTCTATTTTATTTCTGTGAAGTTGGTATTATGTGCCTAGTCATTAGCCTTTAACTTCATTATTTACGTCACATTATTCAGTTTGGTCTATTATTCTAATAACTGACATTCTGTCTTCCAGCAAATTAAATAACCAGTCCCTGCTTGGGGTTTTCTGAGTTTCCTCGATCTGTGGTTTGATATCTGACATTAACTTGAGGAAATTCTCAGTCATTATTGTTTCAAATATTTCTCCCATTCCTTTTTCTCTTTCTTCTCCTTCGGGAATTTTCATTGCACATATATTGCTCTTTTTGTAGTTGTCTCAGATAATTTTCTCAATTCCATTCTATTGTTTTCAGTCGTTTTTCTCTTTGCTTTTTGATTTTGGAAGTTTCTTCTGAGATATCCTCAAACTCAGGGATTCTTTTTTCAGCTATGTCTAGTCTACTATTTAATAATAATAGGCTCATCAAAGGCATTCTGCATTTCTCTAACAGTGGTTTTCTTCACTAGTGTTTCTTTTTGGTTAACCAAAATTTCTTAGAATTTCTATTTCTCTGCTTACAGTGCTTAACTATTCTTGCATGGCATTTACTTTATCCATTAGTGCCCTTTGCATATTAATTATAGTTGTTTTAAATTTCTGGTATGATAATTCCAACATCCCTTCCATATCTGGTTCTGATGTCTGTTCTGTCTCTTCAAACTTTTTTTGTTTTGTTTTGTTTTTTTTTTTGCTTGCCTTTCAGTGTGCCTTGTAATTTTTTCTTGATAGCAGGGCATGATTTAATGCATGAAAGGAACTGTGTCAATTGGCCTTTAGTGCTGTAGTGGTAAGGTGTGGGGAGAGGAAACACGCTATAGTCCTGAGAGTAGGTCTCAGTATGTGGCAAGCCTGTGCCTCTGGACTGTAAACTTCACCAAGTACTTCTCAAATTTTATCCCCCTTTAGGTGGCACAGGATGGCTGGAGTGGGCTGGAGTTGGATATTTCCCTCACCCAAGGTAGGTAGACTCCAAGAAAACCATGGCAAGCGAGTCTCTGGTTAACTAGTTTCTTCTGAAGGCAGGCCTTGGTAAGAAGAGAATGCTCTGGTGTATTTCAAAATAGATCCTTTTCTCCTCCCCTCGCTGGAAGCAGGATCCTGTTTGATCTCTAGGAGGCAAAACTCACGAAAGTGTGCCCCTTCCCCCTCCGTGCCTGGTCACTGGGTCTAGCCAGAGTTTTTACCTCCAGACTTGTCCACCATGAACCCCCAGCACTTCGTCAATTACAGTTCAGGTGTTTCTACCCTGGCACTGGATCCATGGAGGTTGCTCCTCCATGGATTTCTGCTCTGATAAATCGTCATTCACTTGTCTGTCTAATTTAGAGGCAGTGGTTTGGCCTGTGATCTCACTTCCCTGACAGATCTAAGAAGAGCTGTTCATCGCTTTTTCAGTTCGCTCAGCTTTTGACTTGTAAGGGTGTTGAGAAGACTTCTTCACTCCTTATGTGCTGGATCAGAAACCAGAAGTTCACGAGTATCCTTTGAGTAAAGTGTTTCAAATAGTTTCAAAGCCACCTTCTATACTTACATTCAAGTCATATTTCTGCCATGTGCCTCAAAGATATTGTTGCTGTTAATTCAGCATAGATTTATTTTTATGCTAATACCTATTTTGTTGGAGATTGTGCACTGAAAGATAGATATTGGTATCTATTTGACAACAGATATATAAATGTTCGCCACCCAATATCCGTTCTCTTTCTTCTGATAACACACACTGACCTGTTTTCCTCTAGAGAACCAACTCCTGCCCCAGTCTCAACACACCTGATTCTCAGTTGGAGCTGCTGGCTGCAGCAGTGGACCCTGCCTGGTCAGCTTTGTCATCCTTTGGTCATGTTGGATGTTCAAGGATGCTCCTGTGATCAATCCCATTGAGCCTGCAAGGGCTGGGTTCATCTTGAACCGTATGAAAATAAAATATGTCTTATTCTTTTTCCTACTAGACTTGAATCTTGTAAAAATTAAGGCTTCACCTGCTAGGGTCACCACAAGTTGTAGGTAGGTTCTACCTGAAATGGAGACAGCACAGAAGAAAACTGAAGCAAGAGAAGAAGACAAATCAGCTCCTGATAATGTGATGTGAAGTACGAGGTCCTTGCAGGCTCAAATAAGTTTCTAACTGGTTCTCTTTGTAATCACCAGAGCAAATTCACATCTTCCCCCACACCCCACCCCCCAAGCTTATTTGAATTGAAGTCTTCTGTCACTTGGAATTTCAGAAGCCCTGACAAATAAAATGGTTCATTAATTGAATCAGCTATATCACAATTCAAATGGTGGCCTGACAACATATCTGCAGATATCAAAATCCTACCATAATAATTAGACTATAAATGGTTTTTAGTCCTATTTTCAGTATTCTCAAAAGTACTCTCTTAGAAATTAAGCCACCGCTTATTCTGCACAAGAATTCCTTTCATGCCATCCCAGCAAATCTGCCTGTATGCGCTCAGATGCAGAACTGGTTCTGAATTGTGCAAAGAGCCAACGTTGCCAGCTCTGCTCCATTTTTTTCTGGCAGCCCCAGCATCCAATCAAGATTTCTGGATCTTTTCCAATTATAACACCATTTGCAAATACTCAGCATTTTCCAGCCTTGAATAATGTATTGATCTCTTTAAAGTAGAAAATATTCTCACAGACCCCCAATGTTGACTTAAATTCTTTTTATTGTAATTTTACTTAAATATAAATGCAAACATAAAACACTACAAACTGTTAGGCTTGTAGCTTTTAGACAACTATAAAAATAAACTTACAGATCAGATATAATATAAACTACAAAGCCAATGAAATGGAACTGAGCTACATTAGCTTACCAGGGCAGAGCAGAGTATTCCCGAAGCCCCATGGCTGCTCAGCTTGGGAGGCCAATGTTTCTAATTACTCTGAGTCCTGAGCTCAGCATTATCAGAGGATTCCTGCCTGGCAAGGCCTGGATTCTCCAAAATTTTTCTGTATTTAGATTATTTCAATGCTTCATTAGAATGGCTTCCCATAAAGTCACTGGCCTCTACTTAACATAACTATAGCTGTTATTTATGAAGACTCTCTGCTGTTTCTTATTGAATCTGTGACTAGTAAAATTGTACCAAATCCAGTATCAGCATTATAATAAACATTTGAGCTGTGAGAAATAAAATCACATGATGGCCCTCAGCAAGGTGATCATCTAAAGATCTAGAAGATGCTTATGTAATTTTTAATCAACTTTACTGAGGAATAGTTTACACACAATAAAATGTACAGACTTTATATGCTTGGATGAATTTTGACAAATATATACATTTGTAAACAAGACATCAATCAAAATATACATTGTTACCCCTCAGTAACTTTCCTGTTGTCTATTTCAGTCAATATCCTATCTGACTGCTATGAAAGTTGTCAGAATCAAAAGGGAGTCACTAATGTTAAGAAACTGCTGACAAATAGAGCTGAGAAAGGCTCTGAGACTTCTCATGCTTGTATGCCTGATAACAAAAAAGGCTACAAAACCCAAAAGTTTGCACAAAGGCTGTCACAACCCTACAAAAAATCTTCCAGGACATCTGCCCAGCAACTTCCCCGTCCATCCTCTGGCTGGTGTCACCCTTGCTATTGATCTTTATAGTCAAAGATAATTATTTAAAAGCAATTATGAAATTCTTCTCATTTTCCCTTTAAAATTCTTAGTTTTCCCTTACCTCCCTGAATACACACATAGTTTAGTATGACATGTGTATTCCCACTGCACTGCCCTATTCCCAGATAAATGTATTTTCTTTTGGAGAGGCTGACTCTGTTTGTTTTTTGGGTTGATATTGCCAAACCAACCCTTCACACCCCCCAATGTCAGAAAATCACTTCCATTTTGCTTAAGGACTTCCTATACATGGAATCATATAGCACCATATAGTCTCGTGTGTCTGTCTTCTTTCACTCAATACTATGTTTTTGAGATCTATTCATGTGATTATGTACATTAGGAAGCTGTTCATTTTTCTTGCTAAGTAGTGTCACATTGTATGGCTCTTCAAAAGTTTGTTTCTCCGTTCACCTGTTAATGACATTTGGGTTGTTTTGGGTTTTGGTTCAAGGTAATTTTGTGATGTATCCAGAGTTAGAAGTCAAGGTCTCTTTCTTCCATACAGATACCTAACCTTTCCATTATCATTTGTTGAGGACCTCTGAGGTCCTCAACCTCAGAGCAAACAAAAATATCCTAGAAAAGATAACTTTCTTTTTCAGTATTTGTCAAAATTCCATCAACTATCAAGTGTATTTGTCCAATATCTGTTCTGTTCCATGGCTTTAAAGATAGGTTTGCATGCCAATGCCATTAGTGCCTTAATTAAATATCTTTATATGAGATATAAACATCTTTATATAAGCCTTGAAATCAGGTAGTGTAGGTCCTTTTGATTAAAAAAAATGTATTAGCTTTGAATTTATTGAGTATATTGCTTTGAATTTCCTTATGAGTAGTTGAAGCAACCTGTCAGCCTCTACTTGTTGGGTGGTATTGAGTCCACAGGTCCACTGGGAGAGACCTGACATCTTAATAACATTAAATCTCTAATCTATGAACATAGTACATCTCTCTACATGTTAAATTGATTTTCTCTGTGAATTTTTTAATACAAAGTTCTAACACACAATTTAAAAAATTTATTACAAAGTATTTTCTGTTTTTAGATGTTATTATACGTACTTTAAAATTTATTTTCCAATTGCTTCTTGCTAGTGTATAGTAATGAAATTGGTTTTAGCATATTGACCTTATGTCCTATCACCTGGGTTAATTCATTTATTCATTCTAGTAATTGCTTTGCATATTCCTTAGGAGTTTTTAAAGAAAAAACTTGTATGGGCATCAAATAAAGACAAGTTTAATTCTTTCTTTCAATCTTTATTACTTTTTTATTTTTAAATACTTCATTTCATTCGTTAGGGACTTCTAACACAATGTGGAATAAAAGGATTCAGAGCCTTGCTCACATTCACACATGGAAAACATTCAAAATGGATGATTAAATATAATAATGGCCATAGGTTTTATTGCGGATGTCCTTTATTAGATTGAGGAAATTTCTTTCTTTTTTTTTTTTTTCTTGGTTGATTGTTTTTATAATGAATGAGTGTTGAATTTTGTCCAGTGCCTTTATTATTTTCTCTGATAAACTTATCATAGGTTTTTTTCTTAATGTATAAATTATATTGAGTTTTGAATGCTGAACACATGTTGCATTCCTGAGATAAACTCCACTTGGTCATAATGCTGAATTCAGTTTGCTAATATTTGATGAAGATTTTCAGGTTTATATTCATGAGAAATATTGGTTTATAATTTCTTTTCTTGTAAGATTTCTATTAGCTTTTGCTTTTAAGGTAATTCTGGCTTCACAATGGAAATTGGGAAGCATTTTCTTATCCTGGGTTTTCTGAAAGAGTTTGTATATGGCTGATATTTACTCTTTAAATGTGTGATAGAATTCACCAGTCAAGCCATCTGAGCCTGGAGGTCTCCTTATAAGTAGGTGTTTAATTATAAATTCAGTTTTTAAAATGATATAACTATTCAGGATTTCTAATATTTAGGTAAATTACTTTTTAAAGAAATATGGTCAATTTATCTAAGTTGTCAAATTGTTTTGACATAATATTCAAAATATACCTTTGTTATCCTTTCAATATCTGAAAAATCTGTAGTTATCTTTCTAATTTCATCCTCTTGTTTTTAATTGTTTTCTCTCACTATTCTTAAAAGTTCATTATTATTTTTAAAAAATCTTAGTTGGGCTGTGTTGATGTGTTCTGTAATTTGTTTTTTATTTCATTAATATTTGGGGGGTAAATCTAGCTGTCTTTTTTGTAGATTTTTATGTTGGAAGCTTAGGTAATTAGTTTTGTACTCTCTTCTTCTATTGAAATGTAACCATTTAAAGGTATTGGTTTTTTTTAAGGACCACCATATCCGTATCCCATAAATGTTGATATCTGTCTTCTCAACACTCAGTTGAAAATATTTTTTAATTTTTCTGGAGGAGTTTTTTTCTTCAACCTATTTCTTATTTAATGTCTGCTGCAAAGTCTCCAAATATTTGGAGAGTTTCTATGTAATTTCTAGATAATTTTATAATTGCTGACATTTATTTTTAATTTAATTTAAATATGGCTAGAGAATATAATATTTACTATTTTAATCCTTCAAAATGTGTTAAGACTGGTTTCAGGGTCCATCACATGTTCCGTCTTGGTCTGTATTCCATGAGCCCTGGGAAGGATTGTGCACTCTGTAGATGTTAGGTGTGGTGGTCTGCAAGTGGCAATCATAGCTGGTTGGTTGATGGTATTATTCCCATCTTTTATATTCCTACTGATTTTTTTTTGTTTGTATTTTTTATCACTTATAAAAGCTAGACATTGAAATCTCAAACTATGACTGTGGTGTTGCTTTTAATATCTTTAGTTCTGTCAATTTTGCTTCATGCATTTTGAAACTACTTGTATGTATGTAGGACTGTTAATACTTTCAATTATTTGAGCTTTAGTTATTATAAAATGGTTCTCTTTATATCTGCTTATACTCCTTTTATAAAACCCTGTTTTGTTTGTTATTAATACACTCACACCATTTTTCTTGTGCTTCCTCTTTGTATTACATATCTTTTTCCATTCCTTCAATCTTTCTGTGTATCTTTGTATTTTATATACCTTTGTATTTAAAATTCATCTGGTAAACAGCATAAAGTGAGAAAGGCCAACTAGGCCATCCTGTGGCCTAAACATCTGTGCCCTTCTTTCTTGTGTTTAAATAAAATCCCTGGCCTTTATTTAAAGTGCTTAGTCCACTGTAATTATCAGTATAATTGGTTTTACATCTATCACCTTGCTATTTGTTTTCTCTTTGTACCCATATTCTTTGCTCGTTTGTTTTTCTCTTTTTATGTTCTTGTGAGTTAATTTTTTTAAAAGTGTTTTACTATATCTCTTCTATTAGCTTTTTAGCTATACGTGTGTATTCTACTTTTGTTATGGTTGCCATATGAGTTACAGTATTATCTTTATCACACTGCACTTAATTAATGTTATTGTACTTTGTGAATAATGTAAGAACTTTACAATAATGTAACTTAATACATACCCTATCCCATTGCTCAGGGTATTAATGCACTGTGCTATATCTTATATTGACATGTTATAAGCACCACAACACATAGTTAATATTATTTTTTCTTTGAACAGTCAATTAAATTTTTCTTGAATAAGAAACAAAGAAAAATAACATGTCTATTTGCTCACATATTTTCTCTTTCTAGTATTCTTCATTTTTTTTCTGTAGACCGAAGTCTCCATCTGGTATCCCGTTTTAGTCCATTTTCAACTTGAGAAACTCCCTTAGCATGTCTTATACTATAGGTCCTCTGAAACAAACTATCTCAGCTTTTATTTATCTGAACATTTTACTTTCATTGCTGAAAATATTTATCACTGGAAATTAAATTCTAGGTTGACAGGTTTTTACTTTCCTTAGAACTCTAAAGATGTTGTTTCAGTGTTTTTATCTTCCATTGCTTTGAACGAGAAGTTCAGCAATTTCCTAAATATTGGTTCCCTGTGTCTACTCTGCCTCCTTCTTTGGCCTCTTTTAAGATTTTCTTTATATCATTATTTTTAAGTTAACCACTTAACTATGCTGTTCCTAAGTGTCATTTCTTATTTATTTCTTTATTTTGAGGCAGAGTCTCTGTCGTCCAGGCTGAAGTACAGTGACACCATCTTGCCTCCCTAATAGCTGGGATTACAGGCACCCGCCACTATGCCTAGTTATTTTTTTGTATTTTTAGTACAAAAATACAGGCTGGTCTGGAACTCCTGACCTCAAGTGATCCACTGCATCGGCCTCCCAAAGTGCTGGGATTACAGTCGTGAGCAACCGCACCTGGCCCATTTGTATTTATTTTATTTTATTTTATTTTATTTTATTTTATTTTATTTTATTTTTGCCATAGAGTTTTGCTCTTGTTGCTCAGGCTGGAGTGCAGTGGCACCATCTCAGTTCACTGCAACCTCTGCCTCCTGGGTTCAAGCGATTCTCCTGCCTCAGCCTCCAAAGTAGCTGGGATTACAGCCATCCACCACCATGCCCAGCTAATTTTTATATTTTTAGTAGAGACAGGGTTTCACCATGTTGGGCAGGCTGGTCTCAAACTCCTGACCTCAGGGGATCCACTGGCCTCGGCCTCCCAAAGTTCCAGGATTACAGGTGTGAGCCACTGAGCCTGGCCCGTTTTTATTTATCTTATTTAAAGTTTGCTGAGCTTGCAGTGTGTCTAGATTGCTGTTTTTGATCAAATTTTTAAAAGTTTTGGCCAACATTTTGTTTCCAATCTTTCCTTCTACTTCGCCTCCAATTACACATATTTCAGAATGCTTGACACTGTCCCCATATCACTGAGATTTTATTCATTTTTTTAAAAAACTAGTATTTTTTTCAGCCAGTACTTCAATTTCAATGATTTCTATTGACTTATCTTCAAATTTATTTAATCCTCATTTCTCTGTGTCCAATCTGCTATTAATCCCATATAGCAAAATTTATTTCAGATATTGTATGTTTTAGTTTTTTGTGTTTTTTGTTTTTGTTTTGTTTTGTTTTTTTAGACGGAGTCTTGCTGTGTCGCCCAGGGCTGGAGTGCAGTGGCCGGATCTCAGCTCACTGCAAGCTCCGCCTCCCTGGTTCATGCCATTCTCCTGCCTCAGCCTCCCGAGTAGCTGAGACTACAGGCCACCTCGCCCGGCTGGTTTTCTTTTTTGTATTTTTTAGTGGAGACGGGGTTTCACTGTGTTAGCCAGGGTGGTCTCGATCTCCTGACCTCGTGATCCGCCTGTCTTGGCCTCCCAAAGTGCTGGGAATGTTTTAGTTTTAATATGTTGTTCTATATAGTTTCCATGTCTCCTAAATTATTTCTCTCTTTATCCGTCTTTCTTTATAGTTTTTTAAAAATCCATCTCATTGCTATTTTAAAGAATTTATCTGCTGATTCTAAAATCTGAGCCATCTGTTGGCTTGTTTCTATTGATTGATTAGATTTAATATGGATATATCCCCCTTATTTCAGGAAATACCCTTTCCTCTCTTTGGCATCTGTAAGTTAGGACTGACCAGTTTGAGATAATCTGGAGTTGAGCTGGTAAAATAAAGTATTATGGCTTTAATATAGATATAGTAGGGCCTTGAAATTCAAGCACCAAGAGTTGCTTGAATTCTTTGTTTATCTTCAGTTTTCACAGAAGTTTAATTGAGTTGGGGTTTGGTTGCATCTTTGCTTAAACTCAGCTCACCTGGCACTTCAAATGCTTTGAGGGTGAGCTCACGCTCTTCCTCATGAAGGACTCTAGATCTCCAGAGTCAAACAGAGGAAGACTGCTACACCTCAAAGGTGGGAGCCCTAGAGACCACTAGGTTGCAAATCTGATGACTCAGACATGTCCAGCTATGGACACTGGGAAACCTTAAGGCTGAGCTCTGGAAGCTGCAGGACTGTGAGACTCGGACAGTGAGAGCTCATGATTTCTTTCTGTTCTCTAGCCCTCCTCCACCATCTATAAAATCCTTGGGTTACAGAATTACTGGGTGGAAGGGATTATCCTTGCCTCTGTGTTTTTTCCAGACTCAGAGCTGACCTGCCTGTCCATAGAGTGTCAACAATTTGGATGGTGTTGCCTCACCCCAGCAGCTGTCTTTCCCTGGCCAGCCCATGCCTCTCCCAAACCTGCAGCCACCCTCAGTCATGATGAGAAAGTGCACTGTGCCCCTTGCTCACCTGGGCCATGCTTGCCTTCAGGAGTTTTAGCTCTTGCTGGTTTCTTTGCTTCGAAAGCTCCACGATGACTTTAAAAATTTTTTTTAAACATTTCCTGTGCTTTTTGGTTAAGATGAGAGTGATTTTTTTTTTTTTTACATCCCTTCAAAATATTAACTGGAAGTGGAACTTGATTATACTATTTTAAAATTATTAGAAAAATGAAATTAAGACGCTTAAGTCAA